GATGTGGAGGTTTGAGAAAAGAGAAAAGGAAAGGGGAAGGATCTGGAGGTTTGAGAAAAGGAAAGGGGATGGGTGGGGTGGGGGGGCGGGGGTGTTGGAGGCAAGGGGTGATGTGAAGGTTTCAGAAAAGGAAAGGGGATGGGTGGAGCTGGATGCTGGCATGTGGTACAGAAACCTTCTGAGAATTGGGGCAAGGCTACAGCTGCTTCTTCAATCAATAAATAAAATTTGGCCAACCTTGACCCCTACCCTCACATGATCTCATATGAGGGTAGGCTACACTCATGATATCATATGAGGGTCCCCTACCCTCCTTTGAGGCAAAAATATCCTCAGAGGGGGTAGGGTGCCCTCATATGATATCATAGGAGGGTACCCTACCCTCATATGAGATCCTGTGAGGCTATGGGCTAAATTGCCAAAGCAACAGCCAGAGCCACAGCCAGAGCCACAGCCACAGCCGCCGCCACCGCCACCACCGCCGCCGCCGCCACCACCACCACCACCACCACCACCACCACCACCACCACCACCACCACCACAGCCACCCTGCCAGCAACCCACCACAGCCCAAGGAAAAAAATAAGAACAGAATTTCATTTTTCCTGAACAGGAAAAATGATTTTCGGTGCATCAAAAACCAGCTACTCCACCCACTTCCCCCCACCCACCTCCCCTTCCCTCCCCCCTCACCACCCCCCACCCCCCCCCCATCAACCAAAGGCATCAGCCACCAAAGCATCCACTCACCACCCATGAACCCTAACCAAGATCCCAGAAAAAAAACTCAGCATTCCCAACTCCCACACTGAAACCCCTCAACCCCAAACCCGAAACCCCTTAAGGCCTGAACCCTCCAAGCTCCAACCTCTCTAAATCCTAATGAATCCCCAACCCCCCCAAATCCTAAAGCTTCCAAACTCTAAACCCATCTAACTCCTCAATTTTCCAAACCCTAACTTAAGGTATAGGGATTAAAGGTTTACAGAATTCAGAAGGTTAACAGTTAAGGGGTTTATAGATCACAGGGTTCTGGGTTTAGGGCTTAAGGGTCATGTTCTATGAAATATATATTTTTTTGGTTGGCTCTATTTTGCGAAATATGCAGCAAGAAGAAGCAGCTGCAAGACTTGCGCCTGCAAAATGTGATTGTGTTTTTTCAAGCATGCATGTTGTGAGAGTCTTGGGAGCTTCGCTAGCAAATGTAGGCCACCTCTAGCAAGGGTGACAACAGCCAGGCAACCACCTTGAAGCTTGGTGGAATCTTGAAGAAGAAGGTGGACTCTGGCAAGTTCAGGAAGAGCCTAAAGGCCATTAAGGCAAAGAAAAAGAAGGCCCCCCAGAAGGAGCCATCTGAGACCAAGGTGGAGAAGAAGCCATTCAAGAAGCCTGCGAAATTTGAGCCTCCTGAAGATGAGCCGCCTATGACCCTGGATGAGAAGATTGAGATGTTTGTGGCCAAAGGCAAGAAGAGTGGCAGCCTGGACATTGGAAGCTTTCTCGATGAGCTGCCAGACGACCAGAGGCAAGCCCTGTGCCAGAGATTCAGCAATGCCAGGAAAACCGCAGGCCTACTTCCAGGAGATGAGCAAAATCAGCAAAATTTCAGGAACCAAGTCCTCTGAGGAGTGGGTCCCCTTTGAGACCATCAAACTTCGCTTTGGCTTGGCCGAGCTTTCGAGAAGAATCCAGCGAGGAACCATAGTGGCCAGGAAGGCACAGGATGCTGAGAATGAGTATGAGTTTCGAGTTGTGAAGAACATTGCCTACTCAGACTCGAGCACCAAGGAAGAGCTGAAGGGCCACATGGCTGGCAAGCTCGACTTGGATCAGTGGTTGAAGCTCAAGAGCCAGAGCATGGCTTCTTTCTCTAACAGCTCTGGATGCCCCACATGCTGGTGGGCAGAACAAGAGAAAGGGCACCCCAAGCAACAAGCAGGCCAGTGAGGAGGCTGAAGAGTCAGGCGTGGAGGAAGACCCAGATGTCTTCAAAGCTGAGCAGCTTTCTGACGCTGGCAGTGTGAAGATCAAAACAGCAGAGAAGCTCAACAACATGCGCAGGCTGCTGACCAAAGTCATGAAGGAGACCGACTAGTCCCATGCAGCAGCTTTTCCTGCAGCTGGCTGACCAGACTAGCTTGGCAACTGCAAAAAACAGGGACTTGCAATTGCATGTGCTCAGCATGTGTGCTTCTTGCCCAGCTCTGTGAGGGCCCAAGCTTATGCCTTCAGAACTTGCAAGCTTTGCTTTGGAGTCTGTGGCTTTCAGCTGGACCATGAGTGCTTTAGGAGCCTGAGAGCAAAATTTGTCCTTCAGTACCTTGACAACCCCCAATGCCAAAACAATTCTGTGAATAGTAAGGCCCAATTCCAAGCACTTTGCAGTACAGATTGCTGTGTGGTGGGGCCATGACTGGCCATGGAAATTGGAAAAGGAGCCTGCAGTTGCCAGGGACTCGAGGGTGGACATGGCTGCAATGTCCCCTCTTGGCATCAACCTTCATCAGGAGCCTCAGATCCTTGCCTGCGTAAAGTGTCATGTGTGCCTTGTTGTTTAGTTTAGGGTGGCCTGTCATTCCTGCAGCTGCGGGTGTTAACATCCAGAGGACAGCTCTGGCAGCACACAAAAGTTTGGTGGGGCAGAGCTTGCCTGATGTGGAAGAAATGGCTGCTATGGGCAGCTGGGGTCGCAACAGCAGCCACATTGCAGAGCAACTAACTACTAGGTACTGTGAGTCCAAGCATCTTGGGCTGCCTGAGCCCTATGTGGTGGAAATTCCAGTGCTGGTTCGAAGCAATGTTGATTGTGCCATCACAGTCATTCCCAAGAAGATAGGCATCTATTTGCCTCATGATTGGTTAACCTGCATGGCTGGGTGGCCTTGATTCAGAGGCAAAGGAGGCCCTGACAGGGCAGGCAGGCTGGCTCAAATTTTGGAAGGAGCATGACATTGAGGGGGATCCCAAATTGCAAGGCAGTCCAATCAGGAAGTCACAGATTCACAAATACTGGCCTCTCATTGTTCATGGAGATGGTGGTCAGTTTCAGAGAAGTGACTCCATCAATGTGATGTCCATGAGATGCTTGTTGTCAGCAGCCAATGTGGCCACAAGCCAACTGCTGTTACTGGCCTTGCCAAAGGCTTGTGTTAACAAGAGCCCTGTGTTGGAAGAAGATACCATGCAAGCAATCTGGAAGGTTTTGGTCTGGTCCTTTACTGCTATGTTTCATGGCAAACACCCTGCTGCTGATCACCTGGGAAACCCATGACCCTTAAACTCCAACAGGAGGCCCTTGCAGGGGCAGCACCTGCAGCCAGGCAAGTGCATGGGCTTTGTTTTTGCCTTGGCTGGTGATGGAGAATGGTTTCAGAATGAATACAAGCTCCCAGGGTTTGCCTTCAATGATTGCTGCTTCAACTGCAAGGCCAACAAAAGTGACATTTCTTTCAATGATTTTCGAGCCAATGCCACATGGAGGACAACCATCATTAAGCATGAGGGGACATGCCCCACTGAGCATCCTGTGGCTAGCATCCCAGGTGTTGCGGGAGAGCCTTTGCTTATGACTCTCTCCACATTTTGGAAGAGGGAGTTGCAGCACATGCCATTGGGAATGTGTTCTTTGATTTTGTGGTGAAGCCTGGCTGGGCTGGGACACAAGATGCCAAGATGAAGCAACTCTACCAAAAGATCCTGAGAGAATACTTGGAACAAGCATTGACAGTGGGCACAGGGTTTCCAAGCTATCCCTG